ACACACACACACAAAGATAGATGGGAGAGACAAGATTGCACCACTGCACTCCAGCCTGGTGACACAGCAAGACTGTCTCAAAAAAAAAAGTGTGTAGTACCTATGTCCCCCTTCCTCCTGCTCCAGTCATGTGAAGTGTTGGCTCCCCCTTTGCTTTCTGCCATAATTGTAAGCTTCCAGAGGACTCCCTAGAGGCAGATGTCACTATGCTTCCTATACAGCCTGTGGAACCATGAGCCAATTAAAGCTCTTTTCTTTATAAATTACCTAGTCTCAGGTACTTCTTTATAGCAATGCAAGAATGTTTTCTTTATAAATTACCCAGTCTCAGGTACTTCCTCCTTTCTTTTTTTTTTGGAGATGGAGTCTCGCTCTGTCGCCCAGGCTGGAGTGCAGTGGCCCAATCTCGGCTCACTACAAGCTCCGCCTCCCAGGTTCACACCATTCTCCTGCCTCAGCCTCCTGAGTAACTGGGACTACAGGCACCCGCCATCACGCCCAGCTAATTTTTTGTATTTTTAGTAGAGACGGGGTTTCACCTTGTTAGCCGGGATGGTCTCGATCTCCTGACCTCGTGATCCACCTGCCTTGGCCTCTCAAAGTGCTGGGATTACAGGTGTGAGCCACCGTGCCCGGCCCGGCCCAGGTACTTCTTTATAGCAATGTGAGAATGGACTAATACCGACAGCAAATTTAACTGATAAATGTGAGTATTCCGACTGCTCCACTGACCAGGTGTTCTGTTCTCCCATCTCTCTTCCTTTCCTTGGGCCTGTCTATTCCCTGAGACACAATAATACTGAAATTAGGCCAGCCAATAACCCTACAATGGCCTCTAAATGTTCAAATGAAAGGAAGAGTCCCATATCTCCTAATTAAATCAAAATCTAGAAATAATTAAGCTTAGTGAGAAAAACATATTGAAACCAGAGAGAGGCTGAAAGCTAGTCCTCTTGTGCCAAATGGTTAGCCAAGTTGCGAATGCAGTGGAAAAGTTCTTGAAGGAAATTAAACATGCTACTCCAGTGAACATATACACGATAGGAAAGCAAAACAACCTTATTGCTGATCTGCAGAAAGTTTGAGTGGTCTGAATAGGAGATCAAACCAGCCACAATATTCCCATAAGTCAAAGTCTAATCCACAGCGAGGCCCCAGTGCTCTTCAATTCTGTGAAGGATAAGAGAGATAAAGCTGCAGAAGAGGCTGGGTGCGGTGGCTCACGCCTGTAATCCCAGCACTTTGGTAGGCTGAGGTGGGCAGATCACAAGGTCAGGAGATTGAGATCATCCTGGCCAACATGGTGAAACCCGTCTGTACTAAAAATACAAAACAATTAGCTGGGTGTGGTGGTGCGCACCTGTAATCCCAGCTACTCGGGAGGCTGAGGCAGGAGAATCGCTTGAACCCAGGAGGCGGAGTTTGCAGTGAGCCAAGATCATGCCCCACTGCACTCCAGCCTGGCGACAGAGCGAGACTCCATCTCAAAACAAACAAACAAACAAACAAACAAAAAAGAAAGCTGCAGAAGAAAAGTCTGAAGCTAAAATAGGTTGATTCATGAGGTTGAAGGAAAGATGTCATCTCCATAACATAAAATCACAAGGTGAAGCAGCAAGTGCTGGTGGAGAAGGTGTAGCAAGTTATCCAGAAAGTCTAGCTAAGATAATTAATGAAGGTGGCTACACTAAAAAACAGATTTTCAATGAAAATGAAACAGCTTTACTGGAAGAAGATGCCATCGAGGAAAGTCATAGTTAGAGAGAAGTCAGTGCCTGTCTTCAAAGCTGCCAAAGACAGGCTGACTCTCTTCGTAGGAGATAATGCAACTGGTGATTTTAAGTTGAAGCCAATGGTCATTTGCTATTTGCAAAATCCTAGAGCCCTTAAAAATTATTCTAATCACTTCTCTTTCCCCCACCCCACGAGAAAAAACAAAAAGAATTATGCTAAATCTGCCTGTGCTCTACAAATGCAACCACAAAACTTGATGACAGCACATGTGTTGACAGCATTGTTTAACAAATATCAAGCCCACTACTGAAACCTATACTCAGAAAGAAAGATTATTTTCAAAATATTACTGTTCACTAACGATGTACCTAGACATCCAAGAACTCTGATGCATACAAAGAGATTAATGTTGTTTACATGCCTTCTAAAAGAATATTTATTCTGCAGCCAATCAAGGAGTAATTTTGATTTTCAAGTCTTATTATTAAAAGAAAAATATTTTTGAAGGCTGTAGCTGCCATAGACAGTGATACCGCTGATGGATCTAGGGAAAGTAAATAAAAAATCTTGTGGAAATGATTAATAATTTTGTATTTCATTAAGAATATTCATGATTCCTGGCCAGGAGTGGTGGCTCACAGCTGTAATCCCAGTATTTAGGGAAGCCAAGGCAGGCGGATCATTTGAGGTCAGGAGTTCGAGACCAGCCTGGCCAACATGGTAAAACCCCATCTCTACCAAAAAATAAAAATAAAAAATTAACTCAGTGTGGTGGTGCACATCTATAGCCCCAGCTACTTGGGAGGCTGAGGTGGGAGAATCGCTTGAACCTGGGAGGGGAAGACTGCAGTGAGCCAAGATGGCGCCATTGAACTCCAGCCTGGGTGATTGAAACCCTGTCTCAAAAGACAAAACAGAAAAAATTCATGATTCCTGGGGGGAGATCAAAATATCAACATTAAAAGGAGATTGGAAGAAGTTGAGTCTATCCCTCATGGATGACTTTGAGGTGTGCAAGACTTCAGTAGAGAAAGTAACTACAGATGCGGTAGAAATAGCAAGAGAACTAGAATTAGAAATGGAGCCTAAAGATGTCACTGAATTGCTGCAATATCATGATAAAACTTGAATGGATGAGGAGTTACTTCTTATGGATGAGCAAAGAAAGTGGTTTCTTGGCCTGGCGCGGTGGCTCATGCCTGTAATCCCAGCACTTTGGGAGGCTGAGGTGGGTGGATCATGAGGTCAGGAGATTGAGACCATCCTGGCTAACACAGTGCAACCCTGTCTCTACTAAAAATACAAAAAATTAGCTGGGTGTGGTGGCGGGCACCTGTAGTCCCAGCTACCTGGGAGGCTGAGGCAGGAGAATGGCGTGAACCCGGGAGGTGGAGCTTGCAGTGAGCCGAGATCAAATCACTGCACTCCAGCCGGGTGACAGAGTGAGACTCCCTTTCAAAAAAAAGAAAGCTGTTTCTTAAGGCTGGGCGGGGTGGCTCACACCTGTAATCCCAACACTGTGGGAGGCTGAGGCGGGTGGATCACAAGGTCAAGAGATCAGCACCATCCTGGCCAACATGGTAAAACCCTGTCTCTACTAAAAATACAAAAGTTAGCTGGGCGTGATGGTGCATGCCTGTAGTCTCAGCTACTAGGGAGGATGAGGCAGGAGAATCGCTTGAACCTGGGAGGCGGAGGTTGCAGTGAGCTGAGATCGCAGCCGCTGCACTCTAGCCTGACAACAGAGTGAGACTCGTCTCAAAAAAAAGAGAAAGAAATAAAGTGGTTTCTTGAGATGGAATCTACTCTTGGTGAAGATGCTGTGACCATGATTGAAATAACAACAAGGAATTTAAAATATTCCGTAAGCTTAGTTGATAAAGCCATAACAGGGTTTGAGAGGACTGAATCCAATTTTGAAAGAAGTTCTATTGTAGGTAAAATACTATCAAACAGCATAGAAATCTTTCCTTTCATGAAAGGAATGGTCAATTGGTGAGGCAGACTTCATTGTTGCCTTATTTGTTTTTTGTTTTTGTTTTGTTTTGTTTGAGATGGAGTCTTGCTCTGTCGTCCAGGCTGGAGTGCTGAGGCATAATCTGGGCTCACTGCAGCCTCTGCCTCCTGGGTTCAAGCAATTCTCTTGCCTCAGCCTCCCAAGTAGCTGGGATTACAGGCACCTGCCACCATGCCTGACTAATTTCTGTATTTTTAGTAAAGAGGGGTTTCACCATGTTGGCCAGGCTGGTCTCTAACTCCTGACCTCAAATGATCAGCCCTCCTGGGCCTCCCGAAGTGCTGAGATTACAGGTGTGAGCCATCACACCCAGACCATTGTTGCCTTACTTGAAGAAATTGCCACAGTCACCCCACTTCAGTATCCAGCACCCTGGTCAGCAGCCACCAACACTGAGACAAGACCCTCAACAGGCAAAAACATTATGAATTGCTAAAAGTTCAGATAGATTATTATTAGTATTTTTTAGCTATAAAGTATTTTAAAATTAAGGCACATATGTTGTTTTTCGAGACATAATGTTATTGCATACTTAATAGACTATAGCGTAGTATAAGCATACCTTTTATGTGCACTGGGAAACCAAAAAATCGTGTGACTTGCTTTATTGCAATATTCGCTTTGTTGTGGCGGTCTGGAACTAAACCTGTATATCTGAAGTTTGCCTGTATATATATGTGCACACACACGCACACAAGCACACACACATCCACTCCCAATCTTATTGGTTCTGTTTCTAATGCACTTAGGAGAACCCTAAGTAATACAATCTCTCACCTACAAAAAGTGGAGTTGGTGTAATGGAAAGTGTATGAATGGACAGTTAGAACTGAGTATTGACTCCTTCTCTACTATTATCTTTGAGGAAATTACTCTACCTCTTAAAACTTTAAAGTTCTCATCAGCAAAATGTTGTGGACCTACCCGCTTTGCAGAGATGATGTGAGAATTAAGTGAGATAATACATGTAATGCATCTGGGGCACAGTAGATCCTAAATAATCCTCTTCCATTGTATGACATCTATTGCAAATATGAGTTATTTATTTTCTCAGGTTTTCAACAGAAACCTAGAAGGAGGCCACATAACCAGAAGATCTGTTGCTACAACTGAATGCAAGATTGCACATGCTAGGGAACTCTTATCAATCAATTTCAGAAGATGCATACATCAAATGATCTCTAGGTTTATAATAATTATTTTGAATGTGGTTGCATATTTGAGTGAGATGGTATGGTAACAGACTCACAGGGATGCCATATCGGGTCCTGTAGAGAGTCCTCATTGCGACGCTCGTTCCACACAGACAGCATTCGTTCATATCAGCTGCAACTTGACACCCAAGGCATGGGAAACAAAATGTGCCACAGAGACCTAGACACATGAAACCAGGGGTACACGTTACTCCACTCTGCCCCTGCCACAACTGAAAGTTTAGCTTGCTTTCACAAATGGCAGTCCAAGTCACGAGGCCTTGGCCACGTAACCTGCTGCTAAGCCCATCTTCAATGTTTCTGTGTAGCTTTGCATCAGTTTCTCCCTCCACACGCAAATCATTTCAGGAATGACCACGCCTTTGTAAAGTATATCATTCTTGTCTAGCTCTGCCTTCATTCATTTGTTCATTGATGCAGTAAAACGTATTCATTTTCCAGACATTATCCTCAGTACTGACAGTGCCCCTGGCTCAAGTCTAGTAGTGAAGGCAGATCATAGGGAAAGTTCTCCAACAGAAACGTGTTTAAAATGCCAACAGGTCACCCAGAAAAATGGGGCCTACAAGGCCCTGAGTAGGAAATGCTGTTTGAGCTGACTACTGAAGGATGATGAGATGTTTTAAAGGTGGACAAAAAGGAAAAGAGCCTCTTCGAGGTAATCTGGCATATCCTGGCAAAGGCTAGTGTTCATTCAATACGGCTGGAGCCCTGGGATGGGATGAGGATTTAGCTGTGGGTTGAGGCAGGTTGGGGAGCAGATGATGAAAAACTCTGAGTGTTAAGAGTGCGTCATGAGAGCTATGAGGAACCACTGAAACATTTTAAGAGGGGAGAATAATTTGATCAGATCTACATTTAAGAAAATGTGCTACTAAGCAATTAAGCTTTGATTGGAACTTGTGTATTCATTTAATTGGGTAATAATACTAGGGGTAAGAGGGTTAACCGGTTCATCTTTAGAGAGTTTCACCAATGTGATCTAATTCTTACTTTGATTTGCAGATGTTGAACTGGTGTCCTGAGAAGCTTAAGTCATCACTCCAGACAATGAGAGTGAAAAAACTAACCCAATTGTTTTATTCCCTAGGTAATTTTCCCTTGCTATGCTACTGAGTGTGTCATTCTTTTTTTATTTTTATTTTATTTATTTATTTATTTATTTATTTATTTATTTATTTATGATGGAGTCTTGCTCTGTTGCCAGGCTGGAGTGCAACGGCGCTCTCGGGTTCAAGCAATTCTTCTGCCTCAGCCTCCTGAGTAGCTGGGACTACAGGCACCCGCCACCAAACCTGGTTAATTTTTGTATTTTTTAGTAGAGATGGGCTTTCACCATATTGGGCACGCTGGTCTTGAACTCCTGACCTTGTGATCTGCCCGCCTTGGCCTCCAAAAGTGCTGGGATTACAGGTGTGACCTACCACGCCCAGCCTGAGTGTAATTCTCAACACATTCAAAGTTCAATTTCAGGCCAGGCATGGTGGCTTATGCCTGTAATTCTAGCAATTTGGGAGGCTGAGGCGGGTGGATCACTTGATGTCAGGAGTTTGAGACCAGCCTGGCCAGCATGGTGAAACCTCGTCTCTACTAAAATCACAAAAATTCGCTGGGTGTGGTGGTGCGTGCCTGTAACCCCGGCTACTCGAAGGCCAAGGTAGGAGAATCACTTGAACTGGGGAGGCAGACATTGCAGTGAGCCGAGATTGCACCACTACATTCTAGCCTCGGTGACAAAGTGAGACTCTGTCTCAAAAAAACAAAAAGCAAAAACAAGGTTCAATTCAACTCTCATTCAAAGTCAATTTCAACTGTCAAGTGAAAGGATAATATATTTTATTTTCTTGTCTTAGAGTACTATGTGGACCAAGGCAAGCAAATAGACTTCAGAGCAAGTTTTCTGTAGGTGGGTTTGTTTGTTTCTTGGTCATTATTGAGAACTAAGCACCTTGCTCCTCTCTGCAACGCCCATCTCACCCCAAACTTCCTTTCCTGCAAGTTCATTTAGAGAGATCTCGAAGTAAGAGATCTTTTAGAGAGATCTTATAAAAAGAAAACAGGCTGGGCGCGGTGGCTCACGCTTGTAATCCAGCACTTTGGGAGGCTGAGGCTGGTGGATCACCTGAGCAGGAGTTCGAGACCAGCCTGGCCAAATTGGTGAAACCCTGTGTCTACTAAAAATACAAAAATTAGCGGGGCATGGTGGCAGGTGCCTGTAATCCCAGCTACTGGGGAGGCTGAGGCAGGAGAATCTCTTGAATCTGGGAGGCAGAGGTTGCAGTGAGCGGAGATTTTGCCATTGCACTCCAGCCCGGGGAACAAGAGTGAGACTTCATCTCAAAAAAAAAAAAAAAAAAAAAAAGGAAGAAAGAAAAAGAAAACAAAGCAGTCAGATATTTTTTTTTCCTCAGTGACAAGCTAATTGCCACAGAATTCTTTATTCTCAGGTGTGTAAAAAACCTAAATATATGAATGAAAATAGTTCTTCTCTGAACGCATATGGAAACCATGAATGAAAACTATCCCCTGGGTACTGGACACAACGTAACTATAAAATAATGAGGTTAATTTATATGTTGCAAGAATAGTCTTTCTAAAAAAAATCAAATTCAACTTGGAATTTTTAAATTAATGTAAGGTCTATTTAGTCAGGCCAGACCTGCTAGTTGTTAGAATCAATCAGCTCTTTTGCTATTATCTTAACCCAGAACTTATTTTAGGAGTAAGACTGTTCTTTGAAGGACTGGAGAAAAATTATCGGTACAGAGGCTTTTTTTTTTTGCCAAACATACCATTGCCTGACCTGCAGAGTGCCTGTAATAAGTTAGAAACTTTTTCTACACCATAAGGGAAGAATAGGGGAAGGGTTTAGTCATTGGTAATTCACCTCGGTATCAATTAAGGGGATTCTTTCCCCACACTTACAGACTCCGCAGTCGCTGAAGCAGTCACACATGCTTGTCTGCCAGTTGGAGTTCTGGGGTGCCAGACCGACTCCAGGTTGGGTCACAACGACCACCGGCGCCTGAGATTGCATTTTCAGTGCTGGGTCTTAAAAGCAGTGGACTGAAAAGTCAAAGAGTGGCGTTAGAGATCTCGAGGTTGCTCTTGAAAGCCCACGTTAGGGCAGGATGCTGAGGCAGTGTAGAGGAAGTTGCTCTGTTTGAAGAACAGAATTTCTGTCTCCACCCCTCACAAGATAGAGGCCGTGCAGGTGGGAGGAAGGAATTCACCGGACTGGGCCGGGCGCGGTGACTCATGTCTGTAATCCCGGCCAAGGTGGACGGATCATTTGAGGTCAGGAATTCGAGACCAGCCTAGCCAGTATGGCGAAACCCCGTCTCTACTAAAAATGCAAAAAATTAACCAGGCTTGGTGGCGCGTGCCTGTAATTCCACCTACTCGGGAGGCTGAGACAGGAGAATCGCTTGAACCCGGAAGGTGGAGGTTGCATTAAGCCGAGGTCATACTTCTGCACTCCAGCCTCGGCGACAGAGTGAGACTCCATCTCAACAACCCCCCCAAAAACAAAAACCACAGAATTCTCTGAACTGGGAAGGTGAACAGTTGCTTCTCGTGGGGTAAGAGAGCGGAACAGTGTTGCTCATGTACTGTTTTTAGGCAGGTACCTGGTATCCACACAAGCAGCGAAACAAATGAGCAACCTGTGATCGTGGCCGAAAGTAGTGAATTATGGAAAATAACATTCTCTAAAATGGCATCATCCTAAACTTTTGTGTATATCCCCCCACTTCTTGCTCCTAATTTATTATTTCTTTTTGGACTGATTTCCTATGAGCAACCATTTCCAGTCTTCCTACTTCCTGACTTGTCCTTCACTTCATATTTACTGGGAGCTTGCAATCCTGTGTCAGCGCTGGCCTGACGGACGCTGCTGTGTGGTACGGGCAGTTTATTTAAGAAGTAAATTTGGTAAGGTTACTCCTCATTTCTCTACATCATGAGAGGCAGTGTAGGGTCATGGAACATGAATTAGATTAGGAGTGAGAGAGTCTTTGCCCAGGTCTTAGTTTCTGAAACTGTGATCTTAGACTCATCATTTAACTAGTCATTTAAATGTCCACTTATTAATCTGTAAAATGAGGTTTCTGACCTACCCACCTTACAGGCTCATTCTAAAGAATTTGTCTTTAAATAAAAATACCATGAACTGTATTCAGAATAGCTGAAGCTTATTTTAAATGTATTAGATGTGCCCTTCCATATACATTAAAGTGGTTATGGCTTCTGCTTGATTTTTTTTTTTTTTTTTTATGTACCATAATAGCCGTTCGCTGCTTTTTTACACTAGAAGAGTGAGGCAAAAGAAGGTTCCAGTAAGTGAACAAAAAACTGGAGGGGTCGGCTGAGCCGATCATTCAGGGCGTGCATGATCCGCGGGTGTGTGTGTGGCGGCGGAGGAGTCCCAGTCTAGGGGCAGATACGTCGGGTGATGGACTAGGCGAACGTGTGTCTGGCTGCCGCTGTCTTCCGGCCTCTTCCAGGGAGGAGGATCGGGGAGGCGGAGAGCCCCCCTGGCTCCTCCCCAGTTGCAGGGACAGGTCTGAAGCAGGGGCTTCAGGAGGCGGGGAGTGGGTGGGTGGGCTTCTTACCTTCTCCGCCCGCTCTGCACTCGAGAAGGGGACTGTGAGCGGCAGCTGCGCTTGGGGCTCTTCGATCACCACCCCCCGCACTACGTCTCCCGCCAGAGCCGCTCTGGGACCCCTGGGTCTCCTCTGCTGGGACCAGACCTGCCTGCCGGTGAATTCTTAGAGCAGCCCGCGCAGAATCCATCCCAAGGAGACCGCCCATTGTTGCTGGCGCAATCAGGGAACGGCGCCTGCGGATGGCTGCCCTCGGGGGACCACTCGCCCGGGCGGCGCGCCGCTGGGGACTCGGCGTGAACCTGGCAGCGGGCGCGCGGTCTCGGAGCCCAGCCCCACCTGCAGGCGCCAGGAGCCGCAGCGCTGGGCAGGGCTGGCACCGCTCCCTCCCGGGCACCTGCCACTCTGTCGCTCCGGGCGCCCAGGCTCACCGGGCGTTTGTTTCTAAATTGTAAAAAGTTTTTATCAGATGGTATGGGCTGAGCAACGCTGGGATCGGAAAGTAAGACAAGAAACTATCACCCACCCTCTCCCCCGCCCGCTGATTTGAATGCTTATTAGATGGACCCTGGATTCTAGTCCTGCTGTACATGCCCACAATGTAAGAGGAAGCAGTCACAACCCTCTAGACACACTCATGCCGCCAATCTCATGAAATAAGAGGTAAGGACCTTGCAATGATTCCGTTTTCGTCACTCACCCCTTTTACAATAATTAGCTTGGCTTTGGGAAAAGTAAGTCCCAAATCCCCAACACTGAGGGGTAAGCTCCACAAAGGCAGGGAATTTTGTGGGTCAAGTTCACCGAGGTTTCTCAAAACCTTAGCTCGGAACCTGGTACACAGGAGGAGCTCACTAGCGACCCCGTCACCACGCTCTCTGCTTCCCGGCTGGCTGAGGCCATGCGTGATGCAGGCTCCAGATGGTGCACAGCAAACAAGGGCCAGAGCCCAGCCCTGAAAACGCAAACAAGGCTAATGTTTCACCTGACTCTTCAGACCTCTACAGATGGGGCCCAGATCTTCCCTAAATCTCAACTCCAGTACTAACATGGTCAAAACCATATTTTTGGGTGATGGCTTCCCACATTTGGAATCTTGGGGGAAGAAGCATTACAGGAAATGCTAGAGAATATGTATTCTAATTTCTTATGCATTTCATCTTAATTATCAAATACCAGAAAAAATATGAAATGCTAATTATCAGTAATGTCAAGTGGTTATCCCTAGGTGATTGGCTGATAGACTTTTTTTGTTGTTTTGTGATAAGGTCTCTCTATTGCCCAGGCAGGAGTGCAATGGCATGATCGTAATTCACTGCAGCCTGGACCTCCTGGGCTCAAGTGATCCCCCCATCTCAGCCTCCTGAGTAGCTAAGATTACAGGCGTACACCACCATGCCTGGCTAATTTGTTTTCCTTTTCTGTAGAGATGGGGTCTCACTATGTTGCCCAGGCTGACCTTGAGCTCCTGGCCTCAAATGATCTTCCTGCCTTGGCCTCCCAAAACACTGAATTACAGGTGTAAGCCACCACCCATGGCCGATAATTTTTTTATACTTAGCATTTATTTCTTTTACAAGCAAAACAAGAAATATCCTTTTCAGAAACGAAAAGCAAATCCAGTGACTAGAAAAAAAAAATTTAAGGGGGCATACCAAGCCAGGTACGGTGGCTTATGCCTGTAATCCTAGCACTTTGGGAGGCCGAGGCGGGTGGATCCTGGGTGACAGAGCGAGACTCTGTCTCCAAAACAAAAAACAAAAAAAAACAACAAAAAAAGGAGGGGCATGTCATACAAATGATACTATAGCTGTTTGTATTTTTTTTCCCTCTTGGCCTCTAGCCAACGCTTGGCACGAAACTGGTATTCAATAAATAAAGATGATCCTACAACTCTTTCAGAGGAAAAACATGTTCATTTTACACCCTTATTTTTTCAAGAAGGCTATATTGTGATTTTTAATACAATAACAGAAATCCGAAGATTTCAGAATAAAAACCACCCTGCAATTATCTAATTGTTTCTCCTTTACCTGACTGTCTTTACTTAGTGTATGGCATATGTGTTTGTGTATTCAATTTGGCTAATGTTAGACTTCATAGCAGTTTGAGTCCTGAACATTTTCTGAGTGCCTTTGAAATCCACTCAGTGGCCATCTCTATATTCTGTACCAAGCAGCTGTATCGGCCTGGCGCAGTGGCTCACATCTGTAATCCCAGCAATTTGGGAGGCTGAGGTCGGGAGTTCAAGACCAACCTGAACAATGTGGAGAAACCCTGTCTCTACTAAAAATACAAAATTAGCTGGGCATGGTGGTGCATGCCTGTAATCCCAGCTACTCGGGAGGCTGAGGCCGGAGAATAGCTTGAACCTGGGAGGTGGAGGTTGCAGTGAGCCAAGATCGTGCCATTGCATTCCAGCCTGGGCGGCAGAGCAAGACTCCGTCTAAAAAAAAAAAAAAAAAAAAAAAAAAAATATATATATATATATATATATCTCAACTGTATCTCAAATATCCATATGCTAACTGCCAGTTAGTTTGTGTGAACATTTACTTCCTCCATGTAGTAGCCTCAACAGTCTTTAGCCCAACAGTCAACATTGTATGTTTCTGTTTCCTTCACTACTTTTGTACTTTTGACTTCCTCTTTTGAATGTGGGAGATTGCAGGGACCCAGGTGCTTTTGTGAATATTAGCACTAGGAACTGGTGCAGAATGGGGGGCCCCAGGAGGTTCTGATGCTATTATAAGTTCCTCTCTAGTGCAGATTGCCTGGATTGGTGGAGAAGTCTACTCGGCTTATCCCGGCATGGAAGAGTAGTCCTAAAGGGAACTGCTCTCCAGGACTTCCATCTGTCACTTCCAGCTTATTCTAAAAAGGGTCTAATAACTTCTCCTGTGAGATACCTTATTCAAAAAAATACCTTCTTGATAGTTATAAAACTGAGATGAGAAAGCAAACACACTCATTTGTATGTGCCTCTGTGATCATTTAAAAATTCAAGGTATCTTTTAAGTTACAACAAAGGTAAAACAGAAACAAATGTAAAATTGTTGCTTGTTCCAAACAACCACAATTCTCTTTGCTTTAGCCATGACATCTTTAGCCTTAGCCATTCAAGGTAAAAGGTCAACAGTAAGTGGAGAGAAAATTTCCTTGAAAATCTAGAATTTCTAGGACCTTAGGTATCACCTTGTCTCCTTAGTTCAGTGGTCCTCAAAGGTTACTATTAGTAAAACCACTTGGACAGCTCTTTAACATGTGGATTCCCAGACACTACTCAGAGATTGTAACTTAGATAGAGTGAGCTAGGGTTGAGGAATCTGTACAATGTAGAATTCTACACACTGTTCAGACATTGTGATTTAGATAGAATGAGCTAAGGTCTAAGAATCTGTAATGCGCACCTGCAGGGCTGCTGCCCTTATGCCATAGGATTTTGTCCTGTGAAATAGAAAAAGGTGGCCTTTCTCACAGACATGGCTTGGTGAGCATGTAGCTGCTTCGGTGAGAATTCGAAAAACAGTCTATCTTTCTCCAGGGTGATGAAGCCCATGCTAGGCCCTCCCGCATTCCCAGGAGCACATTTCAAACTAGCTCCTCTCTCTTCAGGTGCAGGCATGTGAAGTATCCTGGGCATTTCACTAGATTCTAATGCCAGTGGCCTTGCAGAGCACACTTTGTAACCCACGGCCAGTGGCGTTATTTTTCTTCTGTTACTAATAACTACAGATCCAATTTAATTCAGCAAATATTTTATTGAGTGCCAGGATGTGTAAAAGTCTTGTGCTGGATTTGGTAAGGGCTAAGGAGATGCCTGAGGTTTCCTTTCTGTGGCCAGCAGTTCTACCCATTGTGGGGTGACCACACAGCTGTTTTGTTCTATACCATCTTTAACCCCACAGGAGCAGAGAGTGTGATAAAAAAATTGGCAGGGGCCACCTTGGAAAATGCAGGAAAAGTAGGGGCAGGAGGAAGTGAAATGGGAATCTTGGTGGGTGAGCTTGGGAGAATGAGACTAGAATACCTTTCTTTAGGAAGTTCTTTCTGTGGAATGGTCTCAATGTCAGGAAATCTTGCAGTATTTGGTTCATATTTTAAACATCTTAATTTTATCTATTAGTTAAGAATCAATCCTGTATTTGTCTCTCCTTTCTATGAGCACCTCACTCCTGAGGACAGCCCACTATCTTATTAAAATACATTAATATTAATATAATACATGATATTAATTACAGTAATATTAATACATATTATTAATATTGATTAATCCAGACACAACATATTATTGAGATTTTTCTCTTCTTTCTACTGTTTATTGATGTTAAATTTCATTTTTTTTGCTTTGATGGAAACATTTCCATTTCATAATCTCTCCATCTCTCTTTATACGTATTAATGAAGCACCAGAATTTAATTTTGAAGCATTCTAGTCTGTTTTTCTTACTTTCATAGTGAGAATTCAAGGATTCTTATAACTCATTAGCTAAATCTACAAAATTCCATATCTTGTTTCTAAATATTTTAAATGGATAAAATAGAATATTTGTAAAGCAGAAAGAAATTAGACCAGCATAAGTCAACATGCATACGTATTGAAATAAAGAGTGAAATTAATGATCATGTTACTAAATACAATATATATAATATGTGTTTGCTGCACACAGCAGCAGTTGATGAGGATTCAAGGCTAGGATCTTACACTACTTTGAAAAGCCTGGCATTTGGCAAAATGCTTAGCACGAAATTGTTGAATTTGACTAAATGTATAAATTTAAAGCAATTAGATAAGAAAACCTTAGTCTTTTAGCTGAAACTCAAAATATAACATGCTAAGAAAAAAACAAGAAGATCAAATAACTTTTAAAGAAAGCTTTTTTTTTTCAATGCTAAGTTTTTAAAAGAAGTTCTTACTTGTACTTACAATTAGTAAATAAGGTTCAGAGGAGGAAATGTCTTGTGTCCTGGGAGAGAATCTCACCACAAATGAAAACTACTGAAAGGGGAGAGGCAACTGTGTTTCTATCGCAGTGCATAGTACAAAGAACAGTTTCAGACGCTCTCATTGGCCAGCGTAATCCAGCAGAAGTGGTTTCAATGTGTGTTTCTCTTATCTGGAGAATGAATAT